ACCCCCAAATTACCTTGTATTTATTTTTATTTTCGTAACTGTATATTTCTCCCTAGTAGACTATAAGTTTCTTGAGGATAGAGACTGTTCTTTGTTTCCTCAGTGCTTAGCACAGTGCCCAGTATATATATATTTTTAATTGATATTCAGAATTGAATATAGTAGTCCAGTTGTGGACTCTCTCCTCCTTTACTCTGAACACTAAGCTTCTACAGTCTGAGATTATGAGGGTTTTTTAGGTTGCCATGACATTCTGTTGATTCATTGAACTTAGAATCCACTAGAACCCTGAGTTCTTCTTTTTCAGATGAATTACTATCAAACCATGTCTTCCTCATCTTGTATTTGTGAAGTTGATTTTTTTTAATCCAAATGTAAGAATTTCCATCTTCAAAGAATCTCAGAGTTAGAATCTCTTCCCAGTTGTCCCTCACTTCACCAGAACACTTAAAACAAGAAAATAAAACTCTCACAACAAACTTGCATAGTTCAGCAAAGTAAATTACCATATTGCCATGTCCAAAAAATGCAGGTCTCATTCTGGATTTTAAGTCCATCACCTCTCTGGCAGGAAGTGGATAGCATGCTTCCTCTTCTGTCCTCTGGACTTGTTGATTTATCATTACATTAATCAGAAAGCTATCTAGTTCAACACGTACTTGAACGAAAAGAATTCATTTCAACAATATACCTAACAAGTGGTTATCTAGGCCTTACTTGAAGACTTGCAGGAAGGGGAATCTCGTCTAGACCTTGACTCACTTCCTGTCCTTCTGTGAACTGCTTTTATCTCTTCACTCTCCCACAGCCCCCACCCCACCCCACTCTATCTCCATCTCCACACGTATACTCAGCTTCAGGGAGAAGCACCCCTGAGGAGCACTGGACTTAAAGGAGTGGATCTAGCCTCAGATTCCACTTGTGCCAGTTACTATGTGGATGACCTTAGACAAATCATTTAATGGCTCTGGTTTTCAGGCACCTTATCATAAAATGAGAGGGTTGGAATAATTGATATGTAGTATCTGTTCTAATCTTACTAGATTTGTCTCAACATTCTGGTCTGTCAGAATTTCTTTGGATTTTGATTTTGTCATCTGTGTGTTAGCTATTTCTCTTAGCTTTGTGTCATCTTCAAATTTAATAAGCATTCCATCTGTCATTGATAAAAAATGCCCAATAGCATAGAGCCTAGCACAGACCCATTAGAGACTTTTTCCAAATTGACATTAAACTATTAATGATTGTTCTTTGGATCTGGCTTTTCAGATAGTTAATGATTCTACCTGTGGTCTCTAGCCCATTATCTCTTCATCTTTTTTTACAAGAAAAGCATGAGGTACTTTGTCAAATGTTTTGCTAAAATCTAGTTCAACTCTTATCTACAAAGTATTCCCCTGAACCATTATTAGGTCAGTCTGGCATAAATCTGTTCTTTCTTTCTTTTTTCTTTTCTTTTTTCTTTTTTCTTTTTTTTTTTTTTTGCGAGACAATTGGGGTTAAGTGACTTGCCCAGGGTCACACAGCTAGTAAGTGTCAAGTGTCTGGTCTCAGACTGGCTTTGAGCTCAGGTCCTCCTGACTCCAGGGCTGATACTCTATCCACTGTACCACCTGGCTGCCCCCATAATCTGTTCTTGATGAATCTACACTGGTTGGCCCTTTGTGGTCACTGCTGCTTTTTCCTAGATGTTTACAAACCATCCCTTTAATAACAAGAGCTGAAATTTTGCCAGTAATTTTTTTTGTTTTTGTTTTTTTTGTTTTTTGGCTAGGCAATGGGGTTAAGTGACTTGCCCAGGGTCACACAGCTAGTAAGTGTTATGTGCCTGATGCTGGATTTGAACTCAGGTCCTTCTGACTCCAGGACCCGGTGCTCTATCCACTGCGCCACCTAGCTGCCTCCTAGTTTGCCAGTATTTGAAGTAAAATTTAATGGCCTCTGGTTTGCACATTCCTTTCACTTACTTTTTTGAACATTAAGACAGTATTTGCCCTTTTCCAGTCTTAAGATACTTCCCCATTTCTTCATGATCTTGCAGAGATCCCTGATGGTGGCTCAGTAGTCACATCTACCAGTTCTCTTCACATCTAGTTGTGTAGTTAATATGGGCGTGGTATCTTGGACTCAGCAGTAGCACCAGGTGCTGTCAGCACCTTACTTTTCTTGTTTCCCTTTTAGCAGTTTTTGTTCTGTCCTTTCCAGCCCAATATCCTTTTCCTTTGTAGAGAAAATGTAAAAAATAAGAGTTGAACAGCTTTGCCTTTTCTTGTCATTGCCTCCATCATCCTGAGCAGTAATTCTCTGGCTTCTTTGATCCTCCACTTTTTCTCAGTTTAGCTGAAAATACAGAGAGACAAACACAGCCTATGATCTAGAGAAATAGATCCTGTTTTAGTACTAGTAAGATTTAAAAAAGAGTCAGCCTGGTGTAATGGTTAGAGAGCTGGCTTTGCAGTCAGGTTCAAAACTGCCTTTGATACACTATGGCTTTGTCACCCTGGACAAATCACTTAATGTCTCTGTTGCCAAGAAAATGCTGAGGTGCATTGGTAGGGGAAGTTCCTTACCAGATTTCTTGCACAGATGAAATCATAGCTCCTGTTAAAACACCACCAAAAAATTTCAAAATTTCGGCCCCTTTAGAAGGCATAGCTGGGTTGTCCTTGGACAACAGACACAGTTTTTTAGTGGGCCTGTATGCAAAGCCTTTCTGGATTCTTAGGATTGATCAGTGCTTGTGAGGCATAACCTTTGAAAACCTGTAGTCCCTTCCATGCCACAATAAGGAACTGAGGTGGACTTTAGTGGAAGATTATGAAAATCACAGAAAATGTCCTGTGCCTCAGTTGATTTGCTTTATTTTGAATGAGACCAAAATAGGATTCAAACACAGACCAAAAACCAGTGGATGGAAATTGTTTATTACCTTTTGAAGGTATTGCCCCTTTACTGTTCTGCTATTTCTTTTCTCTTTTCCACTGTGAACTCAGCTTCATAGAAGAGCAAGCATCCTTTTTTCCTTTTTTCCCCCTGGAATGCTTATAATGCAGATTCTAGAATCAGAACATGAATCTTGACCAAGGGGCTCCTAGCCCAGGCTGTCCTCATGCCCTCTTCTTGCACTGATTAACAATAGTACACGTTCTTCGTGTTCCAGGCGGCAGTTAAGTGGAATGAAGTAGGCAGGGAAGATGCACCCAGGTCCCTGCATTGACTGATCTTTGATTTGGATCCCAGTTGTAATTTGAATCTGTGGGGCACTTCAGTTATCAGACAGCATCAGAGAAGGGAGTACTTCACTGAAGTGAAGAATTCAGATAACCAAAACTGACCTGTAAGGGCTGACCTGCCCACTTCAGTGCTTTTTCATATGGAAGACATAAATGTGATATAACTTTGGCAACTTCGTGGAGTCATGGAAAGAACACTGGATTCAAGTCAGAGGGAGGACCTGGGTGCTTATTCCAGTTCTGCCATCTTTCTTGACCTCATCTAGATGCACTTGAGGGCCTTTCTTGGTCAGAATCTGTGAACCTACGAGTCTTTTGTTGGGAATACCGAGTTATCTTTTTGAAAGTCTTGTTAATGTGTTGGGCTTTAATAACGTCTTATTAATAGCACCAGAAGACGTGTATGGGGGCTATTTACCCCTGTATTCAAGGACGCTAGACTGTTAAGCTATTTGAATTCAGGTGTTCTGCTTGTCACCTTCAGTTCTCTTTGCTAGTTTATCAGCCTCTAGCACTGTATCATAGCTTCCCTCCCCACTTTGAAATGAACAACTTGTTTTCTGTGGACTGGGAGAACAGATAATCAGGTGTGTTTGAATTGTGTTGAAAACAAGTCACTAGGCTCTGAGTGAAGGCATGTCTATTAATAAGCTTTGTGAATTTTATAAAATCCATTTTTGTTCCTCAGAAGCCTTTGTTGCTTATTTCTTGGTCTTTGAACTTTCTAATAAGAGGTTGCTGGGAAATTGACTCTTTTGAACACATTTGGTAACATCTGAATGTTATTCACTTTATTGAACTACAGTCTGTTAGATTGGAATTTTTAAAGAAGTGTATGTTTTAGTTTATTGGTAATATTTTATTCTCAACTTGGTACCCTTCAATAAAATCATTCAAATACACAGGGTACAAAAATCCTGTAAAGAAATCATAAACTGCAAATTATTACAATTTCTTAAATGTGTTTGTTAACCAGAGCAAAAGAATAATACAATCCTCCTGTTTATTTTTCCTTTTGATTTTTTCTTGTATTTTTTTTTATTTCTTGTATTTTTTATTTTAGTCATAGTGAAATGTCCTTTTTTTCTTTCTTCACTCTGTTATTTCATTTAAATCTTTTCCATATTTGTATTCTTCATATTTACCATCTCTTATGGCACATTATTGCATTATATTGATATGTACAATTTAATCTCTTTATTTGCTAGTGCAAGTAAAGCTGCTATGAATGCCTTTGTACATTTAGATCTTTTATTCCTTAACATTTAAAAAATTATTTTAAATTATTCTCTTTTCTCACTGCCCCCTCTCCAAAAAAAAACACCAAGAAATAAAACTTTCATAACAAACTTGGCACAGTACAGCAAAGTGAATTCCCACATTGCCAAGTCCAAAAATACATATATCATTCTGACATTTAAGTCCGTTACCTCTCTGTCAGGAGGTAGGTGGCATACTTCGTTTTCAGTTCTCTGGACTACTAGTTGATCATTGCATTAGTCAAAATTCTAAAGTCTTTCAAATTTGTTCTTTTCTGTAATGTTGTCATTGTGCAAATTATTCTAATTCTGTTCACTTCACTTTGTATCAGTTCAGTTCTTCTAAGTTTCTCTTAAGACTATCCATGCCATCATTTCTTAAGGTTTTCTTCCTCTTAATAGTTCTCATAATTTTAATAGTTATAGCAACGGAATCAAAAGTATACATTTTTTATAGTCTATAAAGACATGGGTATTTATTGTTTCCCCCCTCCCCCTTTCATTTCAGAGCTTGGCTATGACCCATATAACCCTGACCTTCCGAAGCCTTCGGTTGGGACTGAACATGGCTCCCTGGGGGATGTCCCAGAACCCAGCTCTGGCATCTTGGAGCTGGAGTTAGTCAACCAGGCCATTGAGGCTGTCCGGAATGAAGTGGAACAAGAGGAAAAGAAATACAAGGAGCTGCTAGAGACAACCAAGGAGTATGGCGCCACAGAGACCTCACTTGTTTCACAAAGCCCCACTGGAGCTGGGGTGCCCAACCCAGACTCCTTTGCCACATCCTTAGAATATAATCCAGGTAGCTACAATCTGTTAAATAACAACACAGACTATAACCCTACCCCCTTGGCTGCTGCTAATAAATGTAACAAGTATACTTTGGATTCTTTGGAGAAATCCAAGGCTAAAGGTAACTCTCTGGAATATGTTCCAAAGTCTGTGATCCAGCCCAAAAAGTATAGCCGTGCTGTTCCCAACAGCAAATACGTGATTGACAATTCTAAGCCGTCGACAGATTTGGAATATGATCCCCTTTCAAATTATTCAGCCAGGCTTTTAAATAAGGGCAGTCCAAAGGACCAGAAAGGGGTCAAAAGGAGAAGGGACTCAAACCAAGATGAGTCCTATACTCCTTCGCTCAAGAAGCATTGTGATGTTTTTAGCAATTATGAAACAGATGCCAGATTTTCTGACTCAGAAGATGAAGACCCCGGCTCAGAGAACCAGCCGAGTCCTGCCAGCCCCACAAAAGCCAGAACCAATTCAGAGAGTCAGTCCAGCGGTGGGTCCTCCCCTGGCAAGGGAAAGCCTCTGGAATCTGAGGAAAGTAGTTCAAGGGAGACGAAGGAGATTGCTGTGCAATATGACATGGGGGATATCCAGCGGCGGCAGAGTCCCATTGGAAAACCCCCACCAGAGAAAAGTGGAAAAGGAAACAAACACTCTTCAGAAGGGAGAGAGAAAGTGGCAGAAGGGGACCTAAAGTGTAAGGGCAGCCTGAAGGACCACCGAGTCCAGAAGAGAAAATCACATGACCAGAAGAGCTCAGGCCATCAGGAGGTGGAGAATCAGAGAGAAAAAAGCAAATCATCTGAGAAAGACAAAGGGAAGAATAAGGACAAAGCAAAAGGGAAATTAGGGGAGAAAAATCATAGAGAGAAGAAACTCACTAAGGTCAAAAGTGATGGACACATAAGTAAGATGGAGAAATCCAAGTTAGAAAAGCAAGAGGTGGCCAGGAAAGAGAAGTTCTCATCTGCCATGTTAGTGGCCAGCTCAGGGAAAAGGAAGAATGATGGCCTTAGTAAGAGACCTAGCATGGGGAAGCTGGGGAGCCATAAGAAGGAGTCCAAGGTGAAGCCAGCAGATCCTCCCAATGGGAAAAACATATCCAGTAGCAATAAGCTGAAAGACAAGAAAGGAAGCAAATCCTTCTCCTCAGGTAAGCTGAAAGACAAGAAGTCCCTCTCTCTAGATGAAGGCACTTCCCAGGGGTCTCCAAAGCCTAAGAAGAGGACATTGAGCCATATTGACCTCTTTGGAGATGAGAGTGGGGATGAAGGGGAAGGGACATCCCCAGTTCTTCCTGCCACCCTTCCAAGTCTAAGCTCAGACTCAGACTCAGATGATGGTAGCTGTAGCCTCCCGAATGAGAGCAAGGGACCAAAGCGTCTCCGGGGTGCCCAGATTGCTACCTCTTCCTCCTCATCTTCTGAGGCCTCCGATGACATTGACTATTCTGTCCTAGAGAAGGAATTAGATTACGATTCAGACCCCATGGAAGAATGTCTTCGGATTTTTAATGAGTCTACAGATGTGAAGACTGAAGACAAAGGAAGGCTCAACAAACAGGTAGCGATCATTTTGCTTTTAGCTCTAGGAACTACATTTTACACTCAGTGATTTGTTTTCTTGACAGATAGATTGTGGAAGTAGATGTTTGAAATTGGCAGGTAGGCTCTCCAGATGCATCCGAGTCATTATATTGTTCTATGTGGTCATAGAAAATCCCCTCATTTTCCAGCTGGGGAAACTGAGGCCCAGAGAGGGGAACGGACTTGCCGGAGGCCACACAGGGAGTCAGTAGCATCTGGGATTATTGGTTCAGGGCTCCTGATCACCATTCTACTGCTCTTTCTACTGTGACTCACTGAGAAGTCTGATGGGAGGAATATTTTTTTAAAAATTTTTTAAATTTTTTTGTGAAGAGTGTCCTGCCTCCTGGCCCCGCTATCCTTTTGGTCATTATCCTTATCCCCATACTCACTTTCAGTTCCTCCCACTGGAGTCAGGTAGAAGGGAGCCTGTTGTATTGTTCATTCATTTACATTGTATATAGTGGAAAGAGACCTGGACATCAGAGTCAGGAGACCTGTATTAAGAGTCTGGCTTCAACATTTGCTGTACAAATCACTTATCCTTTTTGAGCCTCTGTTTCCTCTTCTGTAAAATAGGATAACAATCTTTTTACTACCAATGTCACAGAGAAGGAGAAAGTGGTTTCTATCAACTTTTAAAGCGTTTTAGAAATTTAAGCTGCTGTTATAATATTATAAAAAGCATTTATTGCTTTCCTCCTATGTGAAAAGTGCTGTGCTGGAGTATTTAGGAAGAGACTATGAAAGTTAAGAAGACATAGTCCCTACCCTCTAATAACATAGTTCTATTTGGGGAAATAACATGCAGGAAACAGGTAACTGTGCTAGGAAAAATCCAAGTGCAGGAATGAGCGAGGTCAGTGGCACCTCCAAAGGTCAAGGAATGCTGCTGGGAGGAGGTAAGAGGCTTGGGCTTGGTCCCTGAAGGGTGATGAGGATTGAGGGAGAGGAGGGAAAAGTTGGGGAAAATAGGGAGGGAGGGGAGAGGCCAGCAACAGGATCAGAGGCTTAGATGAGGGAATCAAGCATTTAGTCAATTAACATGTATTCAACTACTGCACTGAGCTAGGCTGGCCAGCATGGGGTGTGCAAAAAAGTTTAAAACTGGGGAGAAAGAAGACATATATAGATTTTAAAAGGATCACTAATATTTGGCAGCTTCTGAGGGATTCTAAAATATCAAATGTTCTTTAAGTATTCTAATCCTTAAACCTTCAGGAGTCACAACAGCAAATGGGGGAAATAAATCTCAATTAATTTCAACGAACTTTTAGCCTCCTGGTAGAGTAGAATCCTGACTCGCTTACTAGACATGGGTACTCATGGGCAAATCATTTCAACCTTAGATCTCTGTCTTGTTTACTTATCTAATAAAATAAGAATACTTACACTTTCCTGAACTACCTTGCTGGATAATTGTGAAGATAGCCTTAAATCTATGTGATACAGATCTATTTTATATGTGTGTGTACATCTATAAACCTTAAATATGTATAAATGTGTTACTTTATTAGGCACTCTGGTAGACCACAGGGGCCAGGACCAGAGTAATATTAAGTTGAAGGTAGATGAAACAAGCTGAGGGCCAGGGGCTCCCTTCTCTGGTGCGAAATTATCCTTGTGAGACACACATAATTCCCACTGATTCAGACCCAGTCTCTGAGCTGGCCTTTCATTGGCTGAGAAGATGTGCTAGAGCCAATGATTGCTGTCTTTAGGGTCTGATGTTGTTAGGGCTGGGGGGTGGGAAGAGATGGAGGGGAGTAATTGTGGAATTGGGAAGCTGCAGCTCCTAAAATGGGAGGAGGAAGAAAAAAAATATCTCCCTAAGGTTACCCCTAGGGCCAGGAAGCATCCATAGACACTCACAGGGAAATGCCGCCCCCCCCCCCCCAGATGTGCAGATGCCTGGGGTCTGTAGCTTAGATCTCTACTCTTACAGCAAATAGCTCCTGCCTGAAGAAGCCACATGGTATAATGGAAAGAGCTTTGGGTTTAGACTCTCACCGCTCAGGTTGTTGACCTCAGGCCTCTCTTTTTATAGAGGAGGCCCAGCAACTTACCCAGAGTTATTCATAGCAGGGCAAGGATCTGATCCCAGCCCTCTGACTCCACATACATACAGTACTCTGCCCTGCACCATGTCAGAAGACCTGGGTTAATATCTCTGTTGTGTTGCTAAAACGTGGTGTGATCCTAGGAAAATCTTTTCATCTTTGTGACCTTGTAAAATGAAAGAGTTGGACTGTATGGTCTCTAAGACTTCTTATGAGTGAGGCTTCAATGTTTGTTGAGGGCTGTTTAAGAATACCCCAGAAAGGTAGGTGATACAGGAGCTATTGTCCCCATATGATGGATGAGGAAATTGAAGCTCTGAGAGGGGATGTGTGACTTACTTCAGCTTACTCAGGGACTATACTGGTGATGGGCTGAGACTTAACCCCAGCTCTTCCAAGGGCAAGTTTCACATTCTTTTTTCCATGCTCTGCTGCTTCTCTGTAGCTAGCTTATATTGACTCAGTACCTTTGCCTTATATTTTCATTATCCCACTGCCCAAGTGTTTGACAAACAAAATATTTATTAAGTAAACTCTTAGTATGTGCTTGGCACTTTTCTGGGTGCTGAGAATACAAAGACGAAAATAAAAGAGTCCCTTTGCCCTCAAAGAGCAAACTTTCTGATGGAGAAAATACCATGTATGTGTATAGATATAAAACATACATATACATTCCTGTTAAACATATTTTCACATTAGTCATGTTGTAAGGAAGAATTAGAACCAATTGGAGGAACCACAAGAAAGAGGAAACAAAACAGAACAGAAGAAAAAAAAAGAGCAAATAGTATGCTTTGATCTGCATTCAAACTCCATAGTTCATTCTTTGGATGTGGATAACATTTTCCATCTTGAGACCTTTGGAGATGTCTTAGATCCTTACATTGCTGAGAAGAGCTAAGTCTATCAAAATTAGTCATAGCACAACATGGCTGTTACTGTGTACAGCATTCTCCTGGTTCTGCTCCTTCAGTCAGCTTCAGTTCATATAAGTCTTTCCAGGTTTTTCTGAAGTCCACCTGCTCATCGTTTCTTATAGCACAATAGTATTCCATTACATTCATATACCACAACTTGTTCAGCCATTCAGCAGTTGATGGACATCCCCTCAATTTCCAATTCTTTGCCACCATAAAAAGAGCTGCTATACATATTTTTATACATGTGGGTCCTTTTCCCATTTTTATGATCTCTTTGGGAAACAGCCTCAGAAGTACTGGGTCAAAGGGTATACACATTTCTCTAGCCCTTTGGGCATAGTTCCAAATTGCTTTCCAAAATGGTTGGATTATTTCACAATTCCACCAACAATACATTAGTGTTCCAATTTTCCCGCATCTGGAAGCTGACCCTTAAAGGAAATCAGGGATTTGAAAAGTGGAGGTGAGGAGGGGGAGTGCATTGCAGGAATGGGGCACAGCCAGTGCAAAGGCATGGGGACTGGAGGTTGAGCATCACATGTAAGATCAAGTAGACCAACTGGACCATGGAGTTTGTGGAGGGGAATAATTTGTAAGAAGGCTGGTAAGGGAAGGAAAGGACAAGGTTGTGAAGAGCTATACGTGGCAAATAGGAATTTATAGTTGATCTGGAGGTAAAAGGGATATTGGAGTTTATTTTTTTAAATATTTAATATTTTATTTTTTCCCCAATTACATATAAAACAATTTTTTTTGTTGGTAAATTTGTGAGCTTTATTTGGAAATTTCCCCATGAAGCTCCCTATCCCACAATTTTCTGTAAAGAAAAAGCCTAATGATTTATCTGATAATAGGTCTGAATTTTCTAAATACACCCCATTTGAATTGTACCTTTCCTAACCTTACCTCTATACCCCCACATCTTTATTCAGAAAATAAACATTAAAATCTCCAGAAGAGCAGGTTCAGGTTTTAAAGCTGAATTGGTATAAGAAACAAAAAGGAACTCAGTTCCCAGAGATACAGCTTCATTTCTCTTCACAGATGTTAAAAAAAAGTTCAAGTTGGAATTTTAGCTATTCTACTTTACTTTAGTTGAGCTCAAATATATGACATCCAAAATTACAAGGGGAAAAATGTGATTTTTGTTTTCTCCTATTATTTTACTTTGGTACTTCTTTTTTTTTTTATTTAAAAAAAACATCTTGCCCCTCCCTCCACCCCAAGATAGCATGCATTCTAAATACCTCTTCCCCTAGTCTGCCTTCCCTTCTATCTCTTCCTCCCTTCTCTTATCCCCTTCCCCTTCAGTTTTCCTGTAGAGCAGGATGGATTTCTGTACCCCATTTCCTGTATTTCTTATTTCCCAGTTGCATGTGAAAACGTTTTTTTTAAACATGTGTTTTAAAACTTTGGGTTCCAAATTTTCTCCCTTCCTCCCTCCCCATCTACCCTCATTGATAAGGCAAGCAACTCAATATAGGTTATATATGTGCAGTTATGCAAAACACTTCCATAGTAGACATGCTGTGAAAAACTAACACTATTTCCCTTAATCCTATCCCGCCTACCCATTTATTCTATTCTTTCTTTTGACCCTGTCCCTCCTCAAAAGTATTTGCTTCTGATTACTCCCTTTCCCAATCTGCCCTCCTCTCTATCATTCCCCTACTCTCTTGTCCCCTTCCCCCCCTATTTTCCTGTAGGGTAAGACAGATTTCCACACCCAATTGAGTGTGTATGTTACTCCCTCCTTAAGTCAAATCTTATGAGAATAAGATTCACTCATTCCCTCTCACCTTCCCCTGTTTCCCCTCCACTGTAAGAGCCTTTTCTGTTTTTTTTTTTTTTTGTGGGATAATTTACCCAGTTCTACCTCTCCCTTTCTCCTTCTCCTAGTATATTCCTCTCTCACCCCTTAATTTTATTCTCCAGATATGACCCCTTCATTTTCAACTCACCCTGTGCCCTCTATCTATCTATATCTCTATCTATAT